GAGTTCTAGCTCTAGTGAGTTCTAGCCCTAGTGAGTTCTAACTCTAACGAGTTCTAACTCTAGCAAGTTCTAGCCCTAGTGAGTTCTAACTCTAGTGAGTTCTGGCTCTAGTGAGTTCTAGCCCTCGGTTCTAACTCTAGCGAGTTCTAACTCTAGCAAGTTCTAGCTCTAGCGAGTTCTAGCTCTCATGAGTTCTAGCTCTAGTGAGTTCTAGCTCTCGCAAGTTCTATCCCTAGTGAGTTATAGCCCTAGTGAGTTATAGTTCTATTGAATTCTAGCTCTAGTGAGAAAGTTCTAACTCTAGCGTGTTCCAGCCCTAGGGAGTTCCAGATCCTCTAGTGAGTTTTAGCTCTTGTGAGTTCTAGCTCTTGTGAGTTCTAGCCCTAGTGAGTTCTAGCCCTAGCGAGTTCTAGATCTAGCAAGTTCCAGCCCTAGCGAATTCTAGCTCTAGGGAGTTCTAACTCTAGCGTGTTCCAGCTCTAGCGAATTCCAGGTCCACTAGTGAGTTCTACCTCTCGTGAGTTCTAGCCCTAGCGAGTTCTAGCCCTAGCGAGTTCTATCCCTAGTGAGTTCTATCTGTAGTTAGTTGGCAGAAGCAAAGCATCATTCTTTAACCACTTTGCTGGGATGCGCGGGCCCTAGGTCACCAGAGGGAAAAAGTTCCAGTAAATGAGCTCACAGTGAAAACTTAGAAAACGCACAAGGAAGAAAGCCACCATGAGTGACACCTGCAAGTAAGTTGATTAAAGCTCTGATAATGTGGAGTTACAGGACATCGATTTGCGAATGTGTAAGCAACGACTCCCATTCTCCTAAATGATAGTTCACTTATGTTTTACTCTCTCTTCTCTTCTCCTTCCTCCTTCCCCACTTCTTATTTCTTTAGAAATGCAATGATAGCCTTTCACCTCCTGTTCACCAGACACTTCCTACAGGGCAAGCTCATGTGCTTAGAGGTTCAGAGCAGAACTCTTGCCCGCAGGAGGCTGCCTCAAGAGACAAGTTGATTTACAGCCTAAAGTGTGCGTGCTGGAGTTTCCGGCCACCTTCACAGCCTCTTTCTGCCCATGGAGACGCCAACTCAACTTCCAGGTAGATAAGACACAGAGACCCCCCCCACCTCCTCGCTTCCTCCCGACCTTTTAAAAATGCCTCTTTTGGCCAGGCATGGTGGTTCACGCCTGTAATCCCAGCACTTTGGGAGGTTGAGGCAGGTGGATCACCTGAGGTCGGGAGTTC